ATCAATATATGATAAGGTAAAATGTAGTGTCCGTATTAATGGTATGTTAACATCGTGGTTTAATGTTAATCAAGGCTTAAAGCAAGGCTGTCTACTTTCTCCAATACTGTTTAATTTTTTCATTAATGATTTGCTTAACACACTGGAAGAGAGTGGTATTGGTATTTCTGTTAATGGTACTACTATTGCCGCCTTAGCCTATGCTGATGATCTTATCCTGCTTGCAGAATCATCAGAGGACTTAAATAATATGTTGTACATTTTAAACAAGTGGTGTGTGGATAATGGTATATGCATTAATAATGATAAATCTAAGATTGTACATTTTAGACATATTAGTGCACAAAGAACAAGTGCGGTTTTTAGTGTTGGTAACACCGTTTTAGAAATTGTTAATAGTTATAGCTATTTAGGCCTACTGCTCACAGAACATCTTGACTATAATGCTATGGCTAAGGCAGCAGCAAAGTCTGCTAACAGAGCTTTAGGCCTTCTTATTTGTAAATATAAGGCACTTGGAGGAATGGAATCCACAACTTATACAAAGTTATATGATACGATGGTGTGGTCAGTTTTAAGTTATGGGGCATCTATATGGGGACATCGGGAGGTATCGGCAGTAAATGCTGTCCACCATCGTGCTTTGAGATTTTTCTTGGGGGTGGGTGAACATGCTCCTAACGTTGCAGTGAATGGAGACATGGGATGGATCTCTCCAATTGTTAGACAATGGGTGTGTATTGTTAGACAATACTGTCGTTTTAGAAAAATGTCTTTTAGAATAAATAACTATGTATTTATATGGTCGGAGAGTTGTGCGAGTGGATGTGTGAGAAATTGGATTTCCGAGTAAAAGCAAGGTTAAATGAATGGGGCCTTAGTGTGGAAGCTGATGTTAATGTTAAACGGGTATGCGAGAAGGTGCGAGATATTTGTATGCAGAAGTATGTGAGTGATTGGTATGAGTTATTACACAAGCCAAGCGGTAGAACGGGAGGTAATAAATTACGAACGTATCGAATGTTTAAGGATGTGTATGGCCGTGAAAGTTATGTGAGTATGAGTATGCCCCGTTCCTACCGCTCTGCCTTCTCCAAATTCAGATCAGGTACTGCTCCTCTGCATTTGGAAACCGGCAGATATACAAATGTGAATGTGAATGAGAGGGTATGTTTTCAGTGCAGTGAGAGTGTTGAGGATGAAAGACACGTTCTGTTGTATTGCCCTATGTATGATGATTTGCGTGAAAGTTTATATGAAAATGTCTGTTTTAGCTATCCCAACTTCTTAGATCTTTGTGATGATGATAAATTAGTTTTACTTTTTAAACACCATGTATATTTCAGTGCCAAAACCTGCTTTTATATCTTGCAAAGAAGAAAACATATTTTATACGGATAGATTTTACACTGTATATATCTATATAGTTATTTATTATTTAGTATTTATAATGTAATAATACATTAGTCTCTCATAACCCTTAAAGGGTGGCTCACTTATATGCTATATTTTATAAATATATTTATATATGTATTTTATGTGAGGTGAGACTGAAATAAAATATCTGTCTGTCTGTCTGTCTGGCATTCGCAGGAAGGCGACTTTTTAGTTTTAGCTTTTCGCACGAAGTCGAAACACGGTACCCTTTCATGTTTTGTGTTATTACAGTAATGTTTATGTAAGGTCTTATCGGGACATTAACGGGGGAGTAGCGTAAGGGTGGCGACTAAATTTGTACTAATTTCTACGTGGACACAGTTCATGGGTCGTTCATGCTGACAATGATTTCGTGAACAGTTTTTGCAGAACTGTTATTTACAACTGATTGGTTATAAGAATTGTATCAATCACATAAAACAACAATGTCAACAGTTTTATATAAATATGCCGGTACAAGAGTCATCATTACTCGATTTCTGAGACATGGCGAACACACAGCTACAGTACAAGTATCAAGAACAAACAACAACCTTTAAGGTTGGCATGGGCGCTTGACGAAGTTGGCTGGCAAGGACATTATGGCATGTTTGATGATACTTTGTCCATATTTTAATGATTAAGAAGGACAGCGGAAGAGGAAGTGAATTATTTTGTACATATGTTTGTCGCCTTCCTCTGGGATTAGGGTTCCTGTGTAAACATCTGAACCCATTGCTGCAAATGTCCACCCTTTTCGCACGAAGACAAAAACGAAAAACGGCCCATATTTTTACACGCCCCAAAATGTCGCCTTCCTGCGAAGACACCCTATGGCAATATTTCACCACTCAGTCAACACCTTCACAATTTGAGACACAAAGGATGGACAACCTCGCTTCTGGGTTATGGATATGTAACATGGGCGGATCCAGGAATTTTGAAAGTGTGTGTGTGTGTGTGTGTGTGTTTGGGTGTTCGAACCCCTCTGAACCCCCCATTGGCTCCGCCAACGCAAAAAAAATCTTCAATGTGGTCTTAAGTCATTTTCAAAAGGGGGGGTTCGAACCCCCTGAACACCCCTCCTCTCTGGATCCGCCAATGTGTAACTTGACTTTTGTAGCAGTGCTACCGGTGATTGGTAAAATATTCCTACATCATCAGCATGATCTACTATAAAACTACATGCATGGCTGCTGGGTCATTGAGATTATAATTGGTCCCGACTAACGGGATCGGATGGCCAGGTTTGTTCCATTGGATAATGCATGTCTTCGGATTGTAGGAAAAAAGCCCTCGGTAAAAAAAGTACCTGAAAAAAGTTCTCCAGAAAAAAGTCCTATTGAAATAAAACTCCATTTATTCATCAACTTTGAGGTCAAAGATTTTAGAAGAACATTGATAACTCACACATATAGGTTTTTGAATAGATAAATTGATCTTTCATCTTTTTAATGACACTTATAAAAAACATGAGTGAGTGAGTTTAGTTTTACACCACACTCAGCAATATTCCAGCTATATGGCGGCGGTCTGTAAATAATCGAGTCGGGACCAGACAATCCAGTGATCAACAGCATGAACATCGATCTGCGCAACTGGGAACCGATGACATGTGTCAACCAAGCCAGCGTGCCTGACCACCCGATCCCGTTAGTCGCCTCTTACGACAAGCATGGGTTACTGAAGATCAATATTCTAACCCGGACCTTCACGAGTCTATAAAACCATGAAGTACTCACATACAAAGGGTGATTAAAAGGACGTGTTAAATATTTAGATAGGTCTGTGATCTTTTAAATGACATTTAGAAACATGAAGTACTTACATTTTGTGATTATATCTTTAAAACAATGTTTTCAAAGGCACTAGTTTTAAGTGTCAAAGTGTCTTACATTTACATGAGGTACTTACATTTTGTGATTATAACGGACAGATTAGATAGTCAAATTGGTCCTTGATCTTTACAACAATGTTTTGAAATATGAATGAGTCAGTAGACATTAATATTCACCAATATTAAGTAGTAGGAATAAAGCATCAGTAATGTACTAGTATACAGGATCTGTCTATTTTACATTTGTTGTGTGAATATAATCAATACGTGAAAGTCAATAAACGCTATGAAAAACTAAAAGCACATTTTATTCTTTTGTCAAAAATGACTTTTTCAAAATAGGACTTTTTTTCCGGAGGATTATTTTTCTGCATACCTGTCTTCCTACCCCAACAGCGATGACCGATGATGTCAATCACTGGATTGTTTGGTTCAGACTCGTTTATTTACAAACCGCCCGCTGGAATAGTACTAAATGCGGCGTTTAACAACATACAAACAAACCTATTGATTTAAACGTGTTTCGGAAAGTTACACTTAGAAATGCTTTCACATTTCACACTAATGTCAAGTCACAGGAAATAGGAAATATGTATAAACATTTCCGAATCTTGATACCTAGATATCCCGTGGGGGTTACCACTTAAAACCTAGTGGTCCCTTCCGCAAAACGAGCTCAGTGCTAAACGATAATCGATAGTCTCTGTTTAAGTATGGGTTAAACTGTTACAATCGTCTCTACACTGAGATTGATTGGAGACAGGGTACAGTACACTTTCAGCACGAAGGATAATGGTGGCAGTTTTGAGACATGCTTTAAGAAACTAAAATATGATAATTACGAACATGCATGATAACAGTTTATTCTGAGTTGGAGTGAACACACAACATATATTTAAGTCTGAATACAAACTACCGGATAGATAACCAGTGTATAGAATGTACAACATCAAAGTCTGAACATATTTTTGTTTATTAACGTTCCATTTTGTTTCCTAAACTGGAGCGAGTTTGGTTTTACGCCGCTTTTAGCAATTTCCAGCAACATCACGGCGGGGGACACCAGAAATGGGCTTCACACATTGTACCCATGTGGGGAATCGAACCCGGGTCTTCGGCGTGACGAGCCAACGCTTTACCCACTAGGCTACCCCACCGCCCCTCCTAAACTGGAAATGACTTTTAATATTCAGTATATATATAGTCGACGTTGTTCCAAATAGAATTATCATACGATGTAAGGTATTTTTTAATTTCTTCTGTTACTGTTGGAGATCGATCCATTTAAATATTTCCACAACACAATGGGACATTTACAGAGAACATCTAGTTTGAGTAAACACTATGGCAACATTATTTCCTTTCAGTGTTTTGGGGGAATGAATTATGCAATAAAATCTTTCTTTGGTAAATACTGATGCCAACTTATTCCCGCCCAGTCTCTACTGGATCAAGTTTACATTTTTATTCCCCATCATCCCCATCCACCCTTCTCGGCCCTCCTCACCCTCCCCACCCTGTCAAAATGTGAAATGTTCACCATTATAGGGTTACATGTGCTTTTCATGTGAAATCAAGTGTTATAAATACCTTAAGCAACAACGTCTGACCCATATACACGGGCATGAAAATCGAACAAAGCTTTGTAAAATATCAATAATTTCTTTCGAATTTCCCACTCCACAAGTGTGTAATTCCCATAGGGATCGAAGCCCGATCTCTCTGTCTCGTGATGAGATGACGGCAGCGGTATTCAGAGTGGAGCCTGTTACTGATACAGATATACCCCATCCATTCCTCCACGGCGATTCCAAGCTACATCAGTGTAAGGTGAGTATTACATACAGGGACTGCCGTCCCTCCGTGTTTCAGCTGACCAGTTCTCATGTCCGAGTTAGCTTATAGTGTCGTGGTCGAGTCAGGCTTATAGTGTCGTGGTCGAGTTAAGCTTATAGTGTTGTGTCCGAATAGGCTTATAGTGTTGTGTCCGAATTAGGCTTATCGTGTATGGGATGTATACTATCGTTATAATGTTTAGTGGTTGCAGTTGTTAGTACATGAAGTAGAGATCGAACATGGAAATCAATGACGGTTCTTCAATGTATGTGTGTATGTATGTATGTATGTATGTATGTATGTATGTATGTATGTATGTATGTATGTATGTATGTATGTATGTATGTATGTATGTATGTATGTATGTATGTATGTATGTATGTATGTATGTATGTATGTATGTATGTATGTATGTATGTATGTATGCCTCTGCATGTGTGCGTGTGTATGTGTGCAAATTTTCTGACGGATACATTTGACATTCATGTCACATGGGGCAGCTGTAGGCATATTATGTTAATTTGAAAAATTACTTAAGTTGGCATATATGGTCAAATTGTTAACCGAGGAAGACACTTGACCAAACCACGTATCAGTATATCAACGTTTGGCTTGATTCTGAAAGCTGATAAGATGTTCTTGTTTTTGTATTGTATCCCAAATTTCTTACATACCCGCGCACATGGAGCACATAAGTGGCTCATAGATTACCCACAGTCCTTAATACAACCAAGGTGCTATGAATGGTGGGTGTTACTAGAAGGGGCATCCTTACTTTTTACGAGAACACCTGGTGTCACCACTGGTTTGCAGTGATACATTCATAAAGTTGCCTTAGCTTTTTTTGAAATGTTCAACTTTGTTGACCACAATCTCAAACAAAAAGGCTTCGGGAGAAGTGTCACTTCTTGATCCAAGGAGCATTTGTCATCAATCGCGGCGAGATTATATGGATAAATATGAGAACACAGTACGCGAAATGCCTTACTTCCTCATTAACAAATATCCACGTGAAATGATGGGATAGGGTATTATAACAAGAAGTAGACATCGCTGGTGCATTCCCTCCTTGCTGATGTGTTTCCCTGGTCATGCGAGTAAGAATGTTTGCTCATATTGGTAAAATCAAAACAAAGTTATTCGGCCATGAAAATATAGTTGATATTCAGGTATGTCGATGAATTGATTTCTTTCAAAATGACCATTAAACAATTCCCTTGCACTGACTTGCCCACTCGACCTACACATACTTGAGACCACCGAAAGGGTCTCATCTGTTTCATACTTATATATAAATGCATAGATTGAAAGCTATATGACAAGGGCGATAACTTCACTTTTTCCTTTATGTCAGCAATGTTCCAGTTCCAGTCTTTGGTGTCAATATGCCGCTACTTTAAGGTACAATCGAGCAAGATTTTTCAACATTGATTGCAAAGTGCATCACATTCTTGCTCAAACGTGTTTGATCGGGGTTACAGAGTTCAAAGAGAAAAGCTTTCAAAACAATTTGAGGTCGACATTTGGAAGACACATTTTCAAATCTGAGGAATCTGAGTAACATGTGTAACATATAACCAGGATTACTCCGGACTAGTTACCTCAATATCATATAACCAGGATTAATCCGGACTAGTAACATCCATACTATAGAACCAGGATTAATCCGGACTAGTAACATCAGCATCATATAACCAGGATTACTCCGGACTAACATCAATAACATAACCAGCATTCATCGGACTAGGACACATAACCAGGATTAATCCGGACTAGTAACATCCATACCATAGAACCAGGATTAATCCGGACTAGTAACATCAGTATCATATAACCAGCATTCATCCGGACTAGTAACATCAATAACACATAACCGGGATTAATCCGGACTAGTAACATCAGCATCATATAACCAGCATTCATCCGGACTAGTAACATCCATACTATAGAACCAGGATTAATCCGGACTAGTAACATCAGTATCATATAACCAGCATTCATCCGGACTAGTAACATCAATAACACATAACCAGGATTAATCAGGACTAGTAACATCCATACTATAGAACCAGGATTATCCGGACTAGTAACATCCATACTATAGAACCAGGAATAATCCGGACTATTAACATCAGTATCATATAACCAGCATTCATCCGGACTAGTAACATCAATAACACATAACCAGCATTCATCCGGACTAGTAACATCAGTATCATATAACCAGCATTCCACGATTAACAAGCTAAAAACAGATGACACTGAGTCTGTTGACTCACGGTGCACAAAACATTTGCTTTCTTCATGGGAAGATCCGGGTTCGAATCCAAACAATATACTTCACCAAACCCTGGTCCCGTCGAAATTATATCTGTACTATTGACGAAAGTGGCATTAAAACTCATTCATCACCATAGTTACTGAAATGTGATATTCTTTCCAATACTACACCCTTTTTTCTTATGAATGCGGTATGGAATTAGAACATTCCAAACCTGGTTTTTTAATAAAAATTCAGAACAAAGCGCTCGTCATAAATAAATAAAGATAAATTACAGTGGCTGGAAACTTGTGGCAGGATCTATAATCGTCTGGAGGCCACATACATCTTAATAGCACACAAACGTCTGTAGTCGATTTCAAATGTTCTGTTTCCCCAGGCCATGTGAATGTCAATAGTTGCTATGAACTATCCAATTAAAACAGACAATAAGTGATGATATACCGTTTGCTTCACGCCGTGCGCACGTGGATTTGTTCTCACGTCTAGAGTCTTGAGTCGATGGAAAATATCGAGATTTCGGATTGTGTCCCAAACTTGAAGATTTGAAATCCAATTTTCTCATTACTGTATTTGTTGGCGAACAAACACCCCCCGCTGATAGTCGGATAAGAAACGGGAGGACCTGATAGGTGGGGACAGTTTACCAGACAGTAGGTTGAAGGTGAACCATCGCGTCGGTACGGGGACGGCAGTCTACTGGGACACTGCTTCAACGCTTACTGTCATCTGGACATTTCATAGCAACACGGCCTTTTTTTACGATCCTAGTAATTTTTTTATTATTAAATAAGATATGGAAGCACCATTCAAGACCGCTGTATAGTGTCTTATTAAACCGACATTGTTGGGGAACCATTAAATCCGTGGTCGAAATACAACAATACTGAGGAGGAAAATATACTATCATCATATGTTTGATTTTCAGTTTAAAATAGTGAGTTTAGTGAGTTTAAGTTTACGCCGCACTCAGCAAAATTCCAGCTATATGGTGGCGGTCTGTAAGTAATCGAGTCTGGACCAGATAATCCAGTAATCAACAGCATGAGCATCGATCTGCGCAATTGGGAACCGATGACATGTGTCAACCAAGTCAGCGAGTCTGTCCACCCGATCCCGTTAGTCGCCTCTTACGACAAGCATGGGTTACTGAAGATCAATTCTAACCCGGAAGAAGGTTTCTACGTGGTTATATTTTATGTATCTTTTTTCACACACGCAACTGTTAATGGGAAGTCATATCCTGAAGATCCATAAATAGGCTTCTTCGGCGCTTCCCAAACATATTACAGGATATGTAATTGTAATTTCATTACTCTGCCATAAATTACTTTTTGAAACATTTGCAGGATTGACTGATGGTAACACGGACATAATCCAGTTTCACAATTCAGATCTAATTCAGTTTTCAGTTACGAAGAAACCGCAAACACGGCATACTTTATTTTTCTCTTTCCTATTTCAGAAAGTGATTTGTGAAACTGACAGTTAGTTGTGCAGACTAGGAAAACACGGAAACGTGTTACACTGCCCACCTTTTCTCAGACGTTTCTTTACGGAACCTTTTTCATAATTGAAATTTGATGGACTGGGATGAAACAAAACATTAATCAGGTTTATTAAAGATTTCTGAAACATGCAGGAGGCTTGCAATTGGCGGTAAACCAAATTATATGGACAGTAACTTCATGCTCGATTTGATCAGTTTTGGTAATATATTGCAAATAATACCATAAAATGATCAACGCAACTAGTAAATGTGTACGATCGATCGTTATAAACCAGAACATATTCACAAATACAGTTAATACTAGACTGTTGCCAGACCGTTGTCATTAATATGTTCCCCGAGAGACGGTAATGAGGTCATATCCATGGTACAGTGGAGAGAGCGTCTGTTCCGAGGTTCGATCCCCAGGAGCGCCATACGGAAATGTTTAAACAGATGGTACTTGTTGATACACTACTATTAAGGGTATGCTATCTCAGTGGCTTCGTGCCACACGATGGAGGATAGAACTGCTTAAATGAGCCGACGACTAAATACACCTGCCTTATAAGCAAGCAACAACTGATCAAGTTTTACTCCATGCCTTGTAGCACAGGTACTCAACTGCTTTCTTGAAAGCTACAAAAATATTTCCATAATCCTAAGAAATCTCTGTTTAAAGATGAATCCATTGTGCGATTCCGCCTGTGTCCTAAACAGAGTCGATGGAGTAGCCAAGTTGTTAAAGCGTTCGCTCGGCTCATGTTCGATACTCCAAATAGGTACAATGTGTGAAGTAGATTTCTGGTGCCCTCCCGCCTTGGTAATATTGATGGAATATTGCTAAAAACGGCGTAAATTATGAATTATCAATAAAATGGTGATGATTCCAAACATTCACGAGGAGGAATGTAACATTTGTATTTAAATCAACAATTTCATAGTACTACAAAAGAGTTTTTGTGTAATTGAGATGTTTTTCTTTCCTCTTTACCTGTATAGCAGTGGATCATGTCTACATCAAGAGAACATCCCGCGTCCTCAACAGCCAGTTCCGCAGACATCCTGCATGAGTTCCAGAACACAATGGACGAGTTCGCCAAGGCAAGGTGTGTTACTTTGACCCATTCATATAGTGTTATCATTCATACTTATCTTGCCTTTTACGGCCCGGCATCAATTTCTGCAGACAATCGAGACTGATTATTCTCACTGTTGTTGACCTTTCTATTTCTACACATGGACGAAACAGTATCACTATAGCATGTCATGGTTTATCATAATTTACAGCATTTATTAATAATTTATTATTAATAATAAAGACTTTTGTAATGCGCTGAATTCCGCACCACGAAGGGGGCACGTTCAAAGCCCTAACATACAATCTGATCATTATTACCTCGGATAACCCAAGCTATCTGTGCGGCGCTAGAAGGTTAATAGTCTCATGACTTATTTCACCGGGTACCCATTTTCTGCCGGGTGAACAGAGGCAAGTTCGAACAAACTCACATGCCTAAGGTGACATCACATGTTTCACACGTGCTTCGTTGTGCTGACATGAAGTGTCTCAAGCTATTGTTCTCTAAACGTTTAGGTTTAAATTCTTATAATCCTGCATAAGTATCAATTATGTTTTGGTACATAGGATAAAACGATATGGTAGTCACTTGATAATTATCACGACACAGTCCGTACTATATAATTGTTTCAGGTTGTCGGAAACGTTCACTCCAAGTCCGCCCTTCAAGGTAAGACAAAGCACAGCTCAATATGGAGGAGTGATGATTTTTAAGGACTTTCACCGGAAGCTGGCTCGCAATGTCTCCGTCAGAAATTGGATGTAGTTGTCATACCGATGTAAGCTAACCTCGCTATAGACTCTGAGATTTGTTGGACACAGAGTGTTTTTCTTTGTCAATCTCGTTTGTACTCATAACAGTTCAGTTCAGATCAATTCAGTGCAATATATTAAGCTCTATATACTCAAAATATTCCACCCCTTCCCACAGAATACCAGGTCGCCGCCAAGCTGGAAGCGGCCTTACAGCCAGGTTAATCAGTACGTTGTTGACTTTAAGACTCGCTGTAGCGAGACATACAGCAACGGTTTCCTGTACCATGTGTGAACAATTGACTTGCCTGTGCATGTGTTTGTGACAGATGCCTCTACTGAAACGGGATACGTTCACTTTATCATCACTATTTGAAAGTGATTCATAAGCAAATGTTCAGGATAAAGTCATCAGGAATCATACAATCAATCCTTCGTTTAGAATAAGTTGCTTGTGATTGTGGAAAGGGTTTTGTCGCTTATTTCTGCCATTATATAGTACGTTTAGTTTACTGCAGGGCTGTACAAATCACAATGCACTACCGGGCTATTTTCTGAAACAGTTAGACTGAAAAATCGATTAATCTTTGTTTGACTGGTTTTGGAAGGATGTGACCCCGTCTTTGTCAACGTCGTGCCGTCGCCGACCGGGGGCTGCCCAAGGTCTCCGCCGTCTGTCCATGTCCACTATCGGCTGCCTCCCCGACAATGTCCAGCAGGTAAGACGACAGAACGGAGTGGGCGACATCTTTACACTCTCAACAGGCCCTTTCAAGACCTAAAGTATTCATTCAAAGGGCTGCCATTAAAAGTTTACATTGTCATGTCTTATTAGATTCCATAAGTAGAATAATTCCACAGTTGGTGATTTAATAAAATCTGAAATGTACTTAGTTAATAGGTAATGAATGATCTCTTCAGATAATGCATAGTGTTCTATAGGAAGCATATGGCGCAGACAAGATATTCTGTAGAAAAAAATGTTTTACAGGCCATACAGAGCTTCTCAATTCAGGATGGTCGGCAGCACATCACAATAGCCTTTCCACACATGGTTAAAGACTTACGGAGATGCTCCAACAGTTTTACCAAATCCCCTTTTGGACATGGACTATTCTTCCATCATGAAAAATCCTTCATCCAAGGATTTGATTCCTTTTCTACATTCTATGAAGATCGCTGGTATGTATCCTTCACGGTGCCTGTTGTTTCAAGAACGGACCGATGAAACAAATTTCATAAAGAAGCTGTGCATGTCCGTATGAACACAACCAAACTTAATTTGTTTGCCATATTTATTATTTTCCTAGTGACTGACCAAGATGCGATCAAAGCACTCCACTTTGCTAACCGATACATAATGCATAATGTACTTACGAATTTCAGTAATTGTAATTGTTTGACCCTCTTATAACACAAAGAAATCAGAGCACTGCGCACATTGAACAAATCAAGATTTACGTGATGAAATAACAGAAACATATTCTTTTGGCAAATGACGTTAATGGATATAGTGGACGGCGGTTAAAGTATTGGTGATATTGCTCAAGCACGATATTTTGATATAGCTAAACAATGCAAGGCAAGCAAATTATTTGCATTTGGTAGCTGCTAAACCAGAATTCGTATAGCTAAAAAAATAGATGTTTAAGAAATACCACTGGCAACAATGTAATTTTTGTGGCACGCATTATCTTCTCTCATCAGGCTGAAGCATAATTCTCACCGCAAATATCACTCTTTCCAAATATGGTCGGTCGGTCCCTCACTAGTTTATATCCAGCCATAGCTGACGTCATATGTATGTGTCCATCTGTTGTGCAGTTCCACGTCCCGAGTGTTACTACTGACCCTACTGGAGACTGGCAGCACTGTAGGAATCACGCAGCACTTCAAGTCTCTGCTCGCACTGCTGCTGGACACCAAGTCGCCACTGTCCAGCTGGAACATGCCGGTACGTCCACGACCTGGGGACATACGAAATCTCATACTGTACTCTGTACTTATGTACAACAAAACCCTTACGCATACGGCTGTTTCGAATGATTGTTGTTTCAGGTTTGTGTTACAGACGCCACGGCGTCACAATTGGATGACGTCATCAAAACATGTGCACAAACTGTCCTGGATATCCAAAGGGAGAATCTAACAAAAACCTACCCATCAGAAACAATGTCTGGACTGTACAAATACGTGAAGGTAATCTCAAATACAAAGTTTGAAAATATTTTTATAAAAGGCTTTTTAACTTGATTGTTGTGTGTCACTGGATTGTCTGGTCCATAACTCTCGCTTCATTGCAGACTTGAAATCATATAACTAGAATATTAAGTGTGTCGTTAAACAAACAAACCAAACAAAAGAAACACCTTAAATATAATATGCCATGCTATATTTGTTGTGCATCTCAGTGTCGTTTTGAGGATCCCTCAGCCTGTGCGTGTAATATTAAGTTGCAAAAAGAACCTATTGATAGTATATAGTATGTGTCACAAAACTGGGCTAACCGCTACCAGTGCGTCGTGTGTTTGCACTAACTTTTGTTTGAACTTTAAAGAATGTTTCTATTCAAAGGAAAACATAATATCACCCAAGTTCTGCAACTATCACACTCACTTGGAGACGTTACTATACCATTGTCTGGAGCAGTGTTCCTACACAAACCCCACCCAAGTGTTCGAGCTGATGACATACATTCAGTCAAGCGACTGTAGCGAAAAGGAATTCCTACAAGTTCATTCTTTTATGCAGGTAAGTGGTTATATATTGCTAGGTTTCACGTGTTCACTGAAGGCCAAACAGGACCTTACATGCTCAGTGAAATTTAAGATAGCTATATAACCTAGATATGAGTAAACAGGAAGGTCATGTTGTTTATTTTATGGCTAAACCAGATATATCCGTCATTTCGTAATGAACCACTCGCCCCTTTTGGTCTTCCCTTCGAGGGGCGGTGGGGTTGTCTAGTGGTTAAGGCGAACGCTTGTTACGCCGAAGACCCGGGTTCGATTCCCCACATGGGTACAATGTATGAAGCCTATTTCTGGTGTCCCCCGCCCTGATATTGCTGGAATATTGCTAAAAGCGGCGTAAAACCAAACTCTCACTCACTCACTCTTCCCTTCGAAAACAATCTCAAAACTGTCAACTTTAATCTTCTACACAGAAGTGTTGTTGAGGCACGTGTTTTGGAGGCACGGTTAGCTAATGTGGAGTTGCGTCCCTTGGGCAGCCAGAAACCCACGATCGTGGGTTCGAATCCCGGTTCGTCCCGATCATGATGTCGTAGGTTTTATAACAGTGGCAAAAAGCTTAGAGACGCTGGGCTGTTATCTCTCATTTAACTACGTTACGATCACTAGTTTACATCTGCGAATCTTCTGCTTTCATGAACTAGTCCACCAGTACAGAAGCGCCACTCCGGGAATTATGGCTGTCACTAACACGATCCCGTCTCATCTACAAGTTGTTCCCAGCCTCGAGACGGTCCCAGGCGTTCCCAGTCGTTCCTCACCTTGACATGAGGGCTTTGAGAGAATATGACTGCTTCCATAACACATCACTTAAAGACGTACTCCAGGCTGTCTTCAGGGCGCTTAAATTCTGCGTAGAGACTCCGTTGGAAGTGACGAGATGTATGTATACCCTTCTTCTCTTTCACCATACAAGCGAAGATTCTATACATTTAGTTTGTTGGTTGTGTAATGCCTCACTCCACCAATCTTTCTTATAATGCTAAGTTTAAATCAAAGAGTTCAGTGTTTTAGAACAATAAGGGATGAAACCCTTCCCATTACTGACATAGGTGATTATATATTTATCTTTTTTTCACAACTTTTAATGAAATGATAAAATACGCAAATGTGTACTTAAACTTTCCTTCTCAACAAAATATGCATTCTGTGTAGACTTTCGATGTTGTTAAACTATTGTAGAGTTTGTCATTAGGTTACAAGTATAATAAAAGGCTGTCTTGTTTAACCAAGTCAACAAACCACTATATCAATTACGACCAGAATACTGGGATCAGTCATAACCCGGAATCCATATGGGCTTCTATTTAATATAGATATGTTCTGTATATTGATACAACCCACACTGAGGCAGCACCCTATCTACTGTGCCACTAAAAGCGGCGTAAAACCATACTCACTCACTCACTCTCAAACCGAAACATGAGTCTCATTGACCTATTCAGACAATGACCTACTTTTCAGCCGATCCGAATTTTCTCGTGTGAAAGTAAAAATAGACATCACAAACAACTATGGTTACACTGAATTCCAATTCCTTGTTTCATAAGATAATGGTGTTTACAAATAAATTTAATTTAAAACTTTAATAACATCGTATTTCTATATTTTTGGCGAGGTGAAGGCAGCATGACCTTAACTAAGACGTCACAGACTGCCCCTGTTTGATGAGGTCGTAAAATGATTCACAATGCATCTGGCACACTGGTTACACCTGTTATGTACTTTTTGCGCTTATTCAGTGTAGTTCTGTAACGTACAATGTGATAGATTTAATATCAAGTCCGTACCAGACCGCCAAACGTTTCTAGCGGGAGAGTCTCGTTTTGAGATTTCCACGATTTCCAGGTTTCCGTTTGTCAGAGCTCGCTGTACGCTGCACGTGTATGCAGGGATTAGAAGGAGCGTAGTGTTGCAATATACAAGTGCTTAGATGTATCAAATAATACTGATTATCAATTATGTATCCAGTTAAATGAATTGGTCCCAAAATTCTGGACTGGTTATAGTACTAAGTTGCGCAATAGGACGGGACCCAGTCAACAGGAAACGAGACTGTTGTGTAATCAATGTTTTGACTAGTGAATATGGTTCTACACCGCTTTTAGCAATATTCCAACAGTATCGCGGCGGGAGACACCTGAAATGGACTTCACACATGCATCGTATCCATGTGGGGAATCGAACCCGGGTCTTCGGCGTGATGAGCGAACGCTTTAACCACTAGGTTATCTCACAGCCCCAGCAATGTATGACGTGAGTTATGGAACAACTGAGGGAAATGCGCACATTTTTATCAGTTTGCTAAAAAGTAGCTCAGGAAAAGACTATATATGATCCCCAGGGAGTTGAGATTGACAATACGATGTGCCGTTGAGATTGACATCCAGTGAACGAGGGAAAAACAAAGCGCCTTTGAGCAGCTGAACTGAGCTGGATATCGGCGCTATACAAATGTTAGTATGTATGCATAATAAATCATTTCACGTACTTATCTCAGAAAACGTTATGCCCTGGTGTTCAGTCAGTGTAGAAATCAGTCAACATGTGTTCCCTTACTTCCAGCAGGGCCCAGCGATGTACCACCTGTCCAGATATCATGGCGCACAGGTCACCGGCCAGCTAGGGGCGTACTGAACTCAAGATACAGCATCAACGAAGGACACCCTGTTTCGTCACCGTTCCTTTCGTTTTCTGGACTTATTTGTCCGTGGGACCCTAACATTAAATTCTAGGACATGACATGGTTGTTTTCAATGTATAGTGAAGAGCTCGCTACACACACGTCATCATTAATACACGGCGTGAGTGAGTGAGATGGGTTAAAGGCTGTCTTGTACAGTATTTCAGATATACACTGCGTGTTAATGTGAGGCCGAAGTGATGCTGTTCGTATACCTTTACCACTTGGGGTGAATCCACGAGAGAAGGTAACCTATAAGGGTGGGTATTGCAGAGAATTTTCATATTGCAATATATTGCGATGCGAAAGCATGTATTGCGATATGTATTGCAATATATTGCATGAAGTATTTTTACACAAAAAACTACTTATAATCGAGGTAATGCTTGGTTTATAGAGCAAATACACAGCAAAATCACCATGCTTGATTAAGCTTTAATAACAACTTTTATTCATGATAAAAATAAAAATGTGAATAATATTTGGCACAAATGAAAAAAGGAAATATCCGAAGATTTCCGAGTGTTACGAAGTTTTCCGAATGCAAATCAAAATACCGGTTTTCGATCAGCGTCTAGGTAAAATCAATGACAAGACTGTGTCTTACTGTACATGCATAGACAATTGGTATTTCAGGGCTATCAAGGATTCACTACCTGTCATATTTCTTGTATCAGGCTCTCTGATTAAACAGTGTGCATGGTGAACAGCTCTTTCATTAGGGAAGCTGTCTCGATTAGCGAGTTGTTAGTGTAAATAATACATTTGTTGAGCCAGGTTCTCTCAGTATATATTACTTTTGTGAGTGAGTGAGTGAGTGAGTATGGTTTTACGCAGCTTTAGCAACATCACGAGGTTGCATTGCCTAAAACACTATGACAAAAAATTGTACACTTGCTGTTAATTATATCCCATTGCTAATTGTTATTTTTATGCCACCTCCGGTCCAAGCTGATGCCATCAGTAAAACAGGAACAGTAATGTGATGAGACCCCCTGCATGCTACAGCTGTAAAAACTGACCCCGATTGGGATGAGATTGCCACACGCTAGTCATAATTTTTACCCGCACAGTCTGACTTGTTTTCTGTCCTGTGACGACCTGCGCCTAGATTTTCGAAACGTTCGTAGCCCTAAGAATTCTTAACTTTGATAGCAGCCAATGTGTTAAGAATGGGCTCAGGAAGTTTTTGGGGCTACGAACATTTATAAAATCGAGGCCCAGGTGAATAATATTATCGAGGTTGTATCAGGTAGTCCTAGTACTGATGACCATAGCATGTAGTTCTAGAAGCCTTTCACGGGTTGAATGCGTACCTGAACTTACATACTATTGGCACTGCTGGTGCTATATTTCCGACCAGAACAATCCATTCTCATTGTAGGCAGTAGGGCTATGTTTGCAGCCTGCTATGTATGTATGTATGTATGTATGCATGCGTGTATGTATGCATGGTTAGCTCCTGAACACCGGGTGTCTAATCCTCTAAATGGATAGAGATCGAGGCAGAGACAACCAGCCCGTGAAGATCTGGGTTAGAACTGATCTTCAGTAATCCATGCTTGTCGTAAGAGGCGACTTACGGGATCGGATCGTCAGGCTCGCTGACTTGGTTGACACATGTCATCGTGTCATCAATGCTCATGCTGTTGATCACTGGATTGTCTGGTCCAGACTCGATTATTTATAGACCTCCGCAATATAGCTGGAATATAGCTGACTGCGGCGTAAACCTAAACTCACTCACTCAAACAGCCATGGACTCGAACCGTTTCAAGGATTCAACGTAATGACATGAGCGTTAGAACCTATTTAAGCCATGACTTACCCTCAAAGGCCCCTAACACCTAACATGTTTCAACACTAGTCTTGCACGCTTGCACCTCGAACTCTGACGAATATGGCTATGGAATGCAGGTCTCTGGCTATATTTACATGTCCCTTTTATGTAACCTTCTCGAACACATTTAACATTCATATAAACATACCTGCCCATGCTGATGGGCCTATTATGAGCAAACACAACCCTGATCAAGATAACAGCAATTTGTTTCTATCGGTTTGTTTCTGAGAACGAGAAGTCACCAAATCACACGTACGTAGAGTCAATAGAAAAAAATATAGCAAACGTTTTACATGAATCGCACGCCTCGCCGCTCATAAATATAAATATTTAGTTGTTCATTTCGTATGACGTGAAATCGACCTGTCATCAAAGAAATCTTGGGGCTGGGGTGGGGATCTTCCGTCATTGAAAACTGGCATTTAACAAAGACAATGGATCCAATGGAGAGAGAGAGAGAGAGAGAGAGAGAGAGAGAGAGAGAGAGAGAGACACTCATTCATACACACACACACACTAATACATACACGCATTAATACACGCTGACGAACTCATACACACACATACACACACATACTCGTGTACACAGGCACCCTTAATCACAATCACTCATACACAAACACCCACACACTCTCACACTCTTACACGCACAAGTACACACATACTCTCTCACACACACTCACACGGACACCCACATACACTCATACACACGCTATCACACACCCACATGCCTACATGCACACTCACACTCACTAGCACTCATATACACCTTTACTCACTCTCTCTCTCTCTCTCTCTCTCTGTCACACACACACACACACACACACACACCACATAAATCATCAGGTATGAGTATCCCATGTATTGCTCACGACACTACGACACTGAACACAGTCAGTGGAGGATGATTGATGACCACAAACATTGATCCTGGTCCAAGTGTACAAATATTTGTCATATTCCAAGTGTTCACAGATACGAATAATTCCCTTGTGGCTTGGTAAAACCATGTAGGCTGGTTACACTGCGGGATCACAACTGGATGTAGTGTAACTCTATACTGACCTCGATGGGATTCAATTCGCAATATCCTTACTTCATATTGAACAACGTCATGTCCAGCTATTTAAAGGGAGGATGTCTAAACAACATGACAAAACGGCGTTAATCACTCATTCTTACAAGTTCCCTCACTGTTTACTCAGTCTCTCTAAATTGTCATCCAAGATGAATGTACCACATTTGTGGGATACGTTATCGTTTATTTCGACCATGGTGGAAACGGCAAAGCATAGCTACACATAGTGTCCTTATTCCGTGCTGCCCAGCTGAAACTTATGCAGTGCCTTCAATACAATCATATTGTGCATATGCATGTATATGGCTGGTCATTTTGATATTGGGACATCAGAGAGGTAGCACTTTCCTGTCGTGCTGAACAAACAAAAACATGTTTTGACAAGCTGTTGCTGTTTGATATCCTTTTACGGGCTATTTGCTGTTCATTATGATTTTTGTCGGTTGCCCAAGATTTGTTTTGAACAGAAACAACCGATCATGCCCTTTTATCAACAGTCATCTATATGTACACAATCGAAGTTGTCCATCAAACTTAAGTTTGTTCCGACCATACTGCAGTAGTATTCATATTTTTTTTTACCAATTCCAAAAGAACATTTTCTCAAGCAAAACTTTAGCTCGATGTTTCATTTGCTGTTGTATACCTTTACCGGTATTTATTTAGCATATGCTTTTTCCCTGGCGTTGATGTTTACCTTCATTAGAACTATGTACTTTGTGTTGTCTTAAGACGCGCCCTTGGGGAACGTAATGAAACATGCGCCTCCATGTACATCAATACATCACCAAATGTAAACATAATTACGCCTTATGTCAACAACGGACAAACGAGCAGAGTGTTATGAAACCATCTGTTTCGCAAAGTGTATGTAATCTGTTTGAGGAAACTGAGCATTCAGTCACCAAGATGGTATCATTAGTTTCTTAGTTGTAAGGAATTGTTGACACAATCGAATGACGCACTGTAGACCAATGAGATATCTGAAGCATCCCTGTAAACGCTGGCCACTGCCGCAGGTGAACACGCGGCAGACTGTCGAGGTGTTGGTATCGATACGGAGGACATTCACTCACCTACACTCAGACCTGTGACTCAAAAACGATCATTATATTTAGTGCAGACTCATGGGTTTCATGTTCTTGACAGAAGAAACAGAACATTCACATGCAGGTATCTGTATCTGTTAAATATTAGCTCTTCTAAATATGTCATATATTCTCAAGGGAGGAAACAGAGCGTAGGTTGCATGTGATTCAAAAGGTGGTTTTAAGGCGTTGTGCACCACGGAAGGATGAAGTTTGTGGGTGTGGCTGCACTTACATATTTCATCATTTATACCAACATCTCTTGGGCCGAAGATCTTGACCCTGACAATGGAAACGTTTCTCTATACGCCAATTTTACCTGTGGAGGACGATGGTCATGTCAGCATAGACCCGACTACCTCGATGATGATAAGCAGGCGTTCTACCTTAGAGACAAAAATTGTGCTTGTGATTCAGTATGCCACTATTTTAAAGACTGTTGCTCTGACAGTATGTACAACAATGAGTCCATCTCCCCGGCACTTCAAGCCATTCCCCGCAATGATGTGCTATGCCTACAGAACCGATTTCTCTACATATACAGTCAAGTATACCAAGTTGCAACATGTCCTGAGTTCACGAGCCCCAATGTGTCAGAGCCATGTGAAGCTGATAATGCAGATGAGTCGGACATCATGTTGATGGTACCCGTCACAGGGATTAACTCAAGGATGCTTTACAAAAACTTCTACTGTGCTGTGTGTCATCAGGAAGAATACATGTTCTGGATACCTTCAGTCGAATGTGGTTCTTATGAACCACTTGGACTGAACGAGACGTCAACCTTCAAGGACACCTTGGATAACGTGAACTGTCGGGTGAGGATGCTTCCTCCTGACAACCATACAAATTTCCATCCATGTGATACCGACTATGATCCGGAGATAACATGTCTCCCACCTTACAACGAATCCAAGCTAAACCAACTTTGCCAGTCATCAAACGATGCTTCTGAGTTGGTGTTTTCCAAAACAATTCCATATAAAAACAAATACTGTGCGCAGTGCAATGACAAGGAGCCACTTTGCAGAAGCCAATTAAAATTTTCACCGCCACCAATTCCAAACTTGTACTCGTTTTCTGTCTTGTTTGACTTAAATACTGGAAGTGAATCTAAGAAGGTGGGTGTGATGGAACAGAGAACTGAAACGCTGGAGGTAAAAGACAACACGTGCAGAAACAATGAAGTGTATGACTTGTTCGTGGAAAAATGCAGAACTGTCATGTGTAAT